CAGGCTGCTCATCGTGAGGAAGAGCAAGCCCCGCGTGATCAAGTTCCTGCAGACCAAGGGGGACCCGACCTCCAAGAGGTTGGTGAAATTCCTCAATGACTATACATCGCAATTTACCAATCAAGGGAAATTTCCAGTGGTCAATATGTTGAGCTCGATGCCCACCATCAGCCTCATCGAGATCTCCTTGATGCTCGTGGAGCTGGAGGCGTGGGAGTGGTTCGTCGTCGTGAGCACGTACGCGTTCGTCAACCAGCTTGACATCGAGTCGTCCATCGACGAAATCCTCCTCCTGCAAGCGCGCCATTTCTGGAACGACATCGTCAAGAATTCGTCTAGGACGGGTGCAGGATACGAACGTGGATTCAAGTCCGAGTACCACGAGACCTCGAAGGCCGACAGCTACAAGATCCAGATGCCGGACGGGTGTACTTCCTGCCCGTGCAGATCTCCACGAAGAAGCAGGAGGCGACCATGACCGACTTCATGATGTACAAGACGGCCATCGACAAGTACGTGGCGATGATGTACAAGACCATGAACACGTCGTACACCGAGGAGGCCAAGAAGATCGTGGAGAAGAACTACGCGATGTTCAAGAGCGAGTACGACAAACTCTTCGACCTGGTGGACTGGAACATGGTCAACGACTACAAGGAGGGGAGCACGGACTTCGAGACCTACAACTTGGTGACGGGGAGATCCGACGACGGATGGGCCCTCCACCACGCAGAACTGGTTGCGGCTGATCAAAGACAAGCTGGCCCACATGATGAAGGAATGGGTGCTGAAGTTCATGCAGAAGAAGTTCCGCAAGAAGAACAACAAGAAGGAGGTCTTGGATTCGCAGAAGATGTTGCTGGCGATGCTGGCGGTGATGCTCCGGCGGGCCCTGGCGGAGGTCGTAAAGGTGCTGGGAAGGGAAAACGTCCTGCTCCTGCGAAGGGAGTTGGTCGTGGAGCTGGACGTGGTCGCCCTGCAGGAAGAAGGGCTGCTCCTGATCAACAACATGGTCATGTACACGGTCAGCCATGCTCAGCCACGCGGCCATGCAGTCTTTTGCAGCATCCCTCCTGGACCAAAACTTGTTCACCCACAGGAATGTTGATGGCAACACACCACCCGTCAGCCAACTCCTCGCGGAAACCCTGCCACCACCCCCCGGCAACAGCCGCCTACCCCCATCCTAATTGTGGACTTTGGATTGAGCACGTCAGGAGACTGGCCAGTATAAACACAGTCAGCCGACCCAAAAGCACGGTAAGGGGGACTCATTGGACCTCGCGCAGAAAAAGTGTGTGTGGAAAAAAAAATCAAAAAAAATACTCGCGCTTGGCCCTGGAGGAGCTAAAGAAAAAATGAATTCGACAGGTTGGTTTTGTCCCCCCCCCCCCGCTCTCCCCTTTTATACGCGTAGGGATGCTCTCATACAGAGTTTGTACAGGGATCCCTCAAAAATTTCGCAAAGAAATCTCTTATAGAGATTTTGTACAGAGATCTTGCCAGGACACGTTTTATGGAGATCGTGTACAGAAACAGTGCATAGAGATCTGTTGGAGAGATCTGTTGGAGAGAATTTGCCAAGAGGTCTTTTACATAAAAAATAGTTTTTTTTTTAGATCTCGTGAATTCTCGTCCAGAGATCTTGTCCAGATGTCTTGCCAAGAGACGACCTAAAGAGATCCAGGATCTCACTTTGAGATCCCGAACAAAGATCTTCTGTGGAGATCTCCTATAGACACCTTGTGCAGATAGCCTTACGCAGGGATCTTGCACAGCAGCTTCTACAGAGATCTTCGCAAAGGAAACCTGCTGAATCTTACGTGGCCGCTTTTCTTCCAAAGACAACCTTGATTATTTTGATTGAACACCATGCTTTCACTACTAGGTCGCTCTTGGTTTGCTAGCTTGCAGCCTCTGAATTTTTTAGGTCCCTTGCCACCTTTTCCTCTTTGGAACCGTAACTACGAGTACGCGCTGTTTGGCGCCTCTTGCCGGGATCAGTATTTTTTCACATAAGTTAAATGAGTTTCATATTCTTATTTCTTCAAACTTGGATTTATTTAAGAAAAAAACTTGTGACTTCCACAGATGATGAGGCCAAGGCATTCCCCAATATATTTTCATAGGATTTTATATGTAAGATTAATGTTGTAACAATCCCCATTGAAATGGCTGGCCTCACGGCCCATATAGGTCCGATTTCGAAGGTCATTTTGTAGGAAATCACTTTCGCTAGCCATTCTGTAGAATGTACTAATTGGATGCCATTTTGTAGGGAACATACCTGCACCTTGCCATATTGCAGGAGCAATAAAAAAATCATTTAGGCAAAAAATAAGTAACAAATAACAATTTCAAAATGCGGTTTGAACACTTGATGGGGTGGCTCCGTCCCCTCACGGAGCATCCGCGGAGAGTGCCCGGATTGAGGTGGTGGGGTAGTTCCGTCTCCTCACGGAGCATGCCCGGAGAGTGCCCGGATTGAGGTGATGGGATAGCTCCGTCCCCTCAAGGAGCATGCGCGGAGATATTTGTTTTTGAATGAAGTTCCTTCTAGGGGTTGAACGGTTGAATGTTATCTATCAATGTCCTTCTCTGATTCCGGCAATTCATGACCAGCATGAACCATATCATGGCCACATTCGCACCATATCATCCCGAACCATATCTTTTTGTTCATTGCTAACAGTACTTCTATGGCAATGTAAAATAATATGAATATGTAAATCATTTGGTTGCACTGGTGTCATTTCATTTTTTTAATGTCAGCATGACACAGCAATTCATCCCTCAGTTTACGTCATACAGTCGGATCCTGTCATATCGTGCCAAGTCAAACGATAGAGTGTAGAAACATCACTGTGGTCGCCAATTATCCATGATGAACTCGGCATTTCCTTGTCATGGAAGCCTGAACACAAAATACTTCATGAAATCAAACCCTTAAAATTCAGTGCGCCAGTTCTTCTGATAGGGGGATCGTTTGGTAATAGAATGCAGTGATACTGGGTCGTATATCAATCTCCGTAGGTGAGAATTGCAGGTAGACTCACCATTCAATGTTCACCTGTCCATTGGAAATCACTGATCTGAATGAACAAAAAAAACAAGTTACGCAACCCATCTGCAATGTTCTTTTAAAAAAGAATTAAAGAGCACGTAACATGATCTTACTTTTGCTTAGCGGAATTTTAGTTTTTTTTTTTTGCCTTGTTTTTCTTCAAAGTCAGGGGAGTGGCAGGGGCAGCTAAAAACGAGAATCAAAAATAACTTTGAAAGAAGTAAACGAGAAAACCATGTATATAATAGAAACCTGTTTCCTACCTCTGTGCAGACGCATGCCGAACCATCATATATCTCCTATAAGAAATGACGTTTCAATCCCATTAGACTTCGTTTGCTGACCTGATAAACAAAGAAGCTTCAGACGAAACTTGCAAGGTGGGATGCAACCGGTCAATCCATGTACGGAAAAAAACGCCAAAATAACTTTACATGGTTTCAACGGGCAATGTTCCTTCGGGGAACGAGGAAAGGAAATAAGTTTCTGAATCTTGAAGCATTGGAACCATTGAGGCTGCACGCGTTTCATTTTAGGCAGAGCAGCTAAATCTGATCCCTAACGTCCCAAAAATGCCAGCACATTGCATGTGGCAGGCCGGCCGGAGCAGCCAGACCTGCCGTCTGCTTGCTGAGCTATCGAAATTTCAAAATTTTCGACTTGCTAAGCCAGTGCATGAACAGGACTAGCCGGAGCAGCTAGTTCCTGTCACACACACAAGTCGTACAAGCTAGGCGGCAACCAGCGGGTCCCAAACGTCATCCTCCTCTTCGTCTCCTTCATCGTTGTCATCGCCATTGCCATCCGGGTTTGCTTTTATTTTTTTAGGCGGAGGCTCTTCAGTCGATCTCAGTCGCCTTGGCTTTCGGCTTGGGCTTCGGCTTCCCAGACGCATTTGCTTTCCTTTTTTTGGCTTCTGTCTTTGCTTTTGGGCCTGGCTTCGGCTTCGGAGTCGGAGTGTGGGTCACGACGCCGATGGCTTGCGCATAGTTGTTGTTGAACAAAGGGCTCGACCGGTCTGCCATGCTGGTTTGCATCAGGTCAAGTCCCTCCAACAGCTTGCTGTGGACCTCGTTGTAGGTGACACCAAGGTAGGCCACTCTGTTCTGCAAACAAGCAAAAGCTAGTTTGCCATCTGCCGCCCTCAGATCCACATCCATCTTCCCAAAGAATGTGTGCAACAGCTCTTCCATCAGCTCAATGGGAGGGCTGAAGAAGCACACTGGCTCTGGCGCGTCCTTCGCACGGTCATTGACCTTGGGCTCGTCGTCCATATTCGTCCATCCTTCTATTCTGCCTCCCACAGAGATGTGAGGTGCTTCTTACCATAGAGGTCCTTTTTCTGAGACCATTTCAATGTCCATTCGTCCGAAAGCCTGGGCAAGAAGTTTTTGGAGAGAGCCTTGGCCGGAGCAGCCAATGGCTCTCGTGTCCGAGGCAGGGAACGGCCGGGTCAGAAATACCACTAAAACAACTGGAGCCAAAAGCGACGACGAACGAGTATTTGGAAGCTCCTAAGGAGAGGTCAAATCGTCCCCTCCTTAGGAGCATCGCTAACGACGGCGATGCTCCTAAGGAGAGGACACGGAGAGGACAATGGTATTGCGTCCTCCCCTTAGGAGCATCGCCAACGACGGCGATGCTCCTAAGGAGCGGTCAAATCGCCCTCTCCTTAGGAGCTTGTCAGGGGCAGCGGAGAGGCTCCTAAGAGTCTTTCGTCTTGTTTTGCTGTCATGGATTTCGAGCTCGACGAGCAGCTGGCTTCTGCAAGGCCGCCGCTGTGCAAACAGTTGCCACCATACAAAAATGAGGCTCCCAAGCGCCCAGGCCGGATCAGCCTGTTGCGTTCGTCATTGCTGCGTAAGTAAAACTAAGACTTGCAAGCGCGCAGGCCGGAGCAGCCTGTCACGCTTCTGCCAGGATTGGCGATCCGAACTCAGCCGGAGCAGCTGATGTTCGACTTGCCAAAGTCCACATGAAATTCCCCAGTGCGAAGATTATCATCCACACGGCCTTCGTGCACTGCCACGAAAAAAAAATCAAACCAGGTGCCCATGTCCAAGTGAACCCCTGCTTGGCTCACTTGCACGAAAAGTGCCATGAGCTCGTCAGCATGAAGAAACTCTTGCTTGGTATTGTTGGTGAGACCGCATTTAACGCCTTGCATTCGCAGCGGCAACCCTGTGACAATGCGACGGTCTGGGGCTGCATCTAAGTCTGTCAAGTTGATTGCCGTCAAAATGTCCAAGGCTATCTCCAGGTCCTGCAAACATTTGGCAACGCCGGTGCCATGCAAGTGCTGCCGCATTCAAAAGAACGCATTTCTGCAATTTTGGCACTTCATGCAGCGGAAATGCTTTCAGTAACTTAGTGCGAGTTTTGGAAACAAGGGCGAGAAAACTTTCACGTTCATCCTCAAGCTTTGCAGCCAATCCCCCATGGCTGCCTGTAACCATGACCCAGCCTCTGGGCATGCAGGATCCAAAAGAAATTCAGCTGTCCATTTGCTTGACAGCCGCATCCATTTGGACTTGCCATCGCCAGACCCAGCGCATGCAGCCTTGGCCGGATCAACCAAAGACTGCATGGCACTGAATGTGGCTTTGGCCGGAACAGCCAAAAGCCATCCGCGGACAAGGACAGGAACTGCAGCAGTTCAGAGCCCAACGCCACGAGAAAAGAAAATAGCGCATGTGCTATCCCTAATAACTTTTCTGCCTTGAAACGTGTTTCAGAAAGGAGACCCACGAGAAAAACACAAATTACATTGGTGACATAGCTGCTGGGTTGAACCTAACGCTTCCAAACATTAAGAGTTCAATGGTCATTTCCCGACTGGAAATCACAGATTGACAGCTGTTTCCAAGTTATCCAGCAAAGTAAAATGCAATGGCGGGTTTACGGGGTCCCTGGTTTTGATGCAGAAAATAACTTTTCTGAGAGCAAACGAGAAAAGAAAATTAGAAATTTACAAACAAAAAAAAATATTTTTACACAAAAAATAGTCCCAAAAAAAAATCTAAAATTCCGCGAAGCAAAAACAAGTGATAAATGCCCGTTCTGATGCATAATTGTGACTGGTTGCGCGTACAGTAAACAGGGGTCACTGACCATAGGTCGTTTGGTAATAAGCAAGGCCATGGTGGCTGGTATGGCATGATCTAAAATCAAACTAAATCGTATCGTATCATATCATATATTAATCCCTTCCGCGTTTTTTTCAATGCCATCTAGTTTGGGGGCCGACTGCCATCCCCCAGGTTCCAATATCACATCCATTGCCTCCAACCCCGATGGTTCAAATCAAAAATCGGTTTTTGGGGGCGGAGCCGAGAGTTGAATATTCTTGTGACGGTTTGAGGGACATTCCCGTGAGAGGAAATCTTGCAATCCGGGGTTTGCTTTCGGGGCCGGGGGCAAAGTCGGAACCAAAATTTCCAAAACTGACCCAATTGTAAATTCCTTTCCAGAACTATTTCCAAAAAATTTGAAGGAACCCGCAGCTATTCCCATAATAGGCAAAGAATCCCCAGAGCTATTCCCAAAATTGGCAAAGAATTCCCAGAGCTATTCCAACAAAAATTTGGGGAAATGTAGAGCTAGCTATTCATTCCCCAGGCCCCATCCCATGGAAACCTTTCCAAGATGGGAACCCTTCCCATGTAATCCAAGAGATGGCTAGACAATCCATCTAAAGTCTGCGGCTCGGGAAAATGGATGGGCCCGTTCTTTAAAGACCCGGATCCATTCAGTTGCTAATTTTGAATAATTTTGATTTCAACAAGGTTGAGAGAGAGGCCCTGAACCGGAACTAGAGATCTTTGGTTGTCCCTCATTGGTTTGGCGTAGTCTAGTCCAGTCACGCCGGGTGTTCAACTATTTTTTTTCTCCCAACGAGTGTTTGGTCTCCAATTTAGTCCCACCACATTCCTATTGTCACTTCTTTGTGTTGGCATAATCCCTAGCCAACCAGGCCATGACTAAGATTTGGTTGTAATCATGTCCGGTTTTGTTCCAGGTTGTCAGTAGGTGGTAAGATAGTCGTAGCCAATAGTAGTTGTAATCATTGTGAACTACTTGAAGAGATCAGAAACACACAGAACACAAGAGAGCATAACAAATGAACAAAATTTATGATATATAAATATATACGTATATTTAAACTCATATAATCCCTACCCTCTTAAAAATGGAATTTAAGGGGGGGGGAGTCGTACTGAAATTTCATTTTAAAGTTCAATTTTTGCAATCATGTTTTCTCAATCATCAATATTCCCCATCATTCCATGTCATTGGCAAGCAGATGAAAATTAAACACTTGCGCTTAGCTCCGGAGGAGCTAAGCACATGTCAGACTGAAGCAGCACATGTGTAGGGATGGCATCCCTCCAAAAAATTGCGCTGCCGTGATCATAGCTAAGCGCAAGTATTTTATGTATTTTCTAACCAGTGCCCAAGGCTTGTTAAGAAATGTTACTTTACAATTCCATTCGCGGGGTTGGATCACTATCCCAGGATTTCCAAGCAAAAAAAAAGTGGAATTCGACAGGTTGGTTTTGTTTCCCCCCCGCCCTCCCCCTCTATTAGGGGTAGGGATCTCATATATAAATATGATATCATAGTCATAGTTATGTTTTTTTTTCCAATCCTGTTACTTTAAACAAAAACAGGATGAAACTACATTGGTGATTTCGGGGTGATAAGGAATCGCTCTAAACCGCTCCGAGCTATTCCTCAGCTATGTTTTGGAAATAGTTCTGAACCGCTCTGAGCTGTTTAGAACCATTCATAAGTTTTTAAATTTTAGAAGTCGCTCTGAACCGCTCTGAACCACTCTGAACTATATGCATTTGTTTACGTTTTTTCCCCACCTGCCAGGTGAGGGTTGTTAGATTTTATGTCAGTTGCCTCCTCCTGCCTCCTCCTGACTCCTGCCTCGTCCTCCTCCTCCTCCTCTCCTCCTCGTCGTCCTCCTCGTCCAAGTGCGACCCGCGATCCACAGTGTTCTCTGTCGGACCTCAACCACGACCATCCACGCCCAGTGTTCCCTGCCGGACCTCAACCACGACCATCCCCGCCCAGTGTTCCCTGCCGGACCTCAACCACGACCATCCACGCCCAGTGTTCCCTGCCGGACCTCAACCGCGAGTATCCACGCCCAGTGTTCCCTGCCGGACCTCAACCACGACCATCCCCGCCCAGTGTTCCCTGCCGGACCTCAACCACGACCATCCACGCCCAGTGTTCCCTGCCGGACCTCAACCGCGAGTATCCACGCCAAGTGTTCCCTGCCGGACCTCATGTAGGAAGATATGGGACAAAGAATGCGCAGAAGAAAGTTAGAAAGAATGTCAGAAAGAATGTCAGAAGATATGCCAGAAGATATGCCAGATAGAATGCCAAATAGAATGCCAGATAGAATGCCAGAAGATATGTCAGAATATATGCCAGAAGATATGCCAGATAGAATGCCAGATAATATGCCAGAAGATATGCCAGATAGAATGCCAGAAGATTTGCCAGATAGACTGCCAGAAAATATGCCAGAAGATAGAAGATTTGCCAGATAGAATGCCAGAAGATATGTCAGATAGAATGCCAGAAGATATGTCAGAATATATGCCAGAAGATATGCCAGATAGAATGCCAGATTGAATGCCAGAAGATATGTCAGATAGAGTGCCAGAAGATATGCCAGATAGAATGCCAGAAGATTTGCCAGATAGAATGCCAGAAGATATGCCAGATCATATGCCAGAAGATATGCCAGATAGAATGCCAAATAGAATGTCAGAAGATATGTCAGATAGAATGCCAGAAGATTTGCCAGTAAGAAAATGTATAAATGTCATGGTGGGGATCACACGAAGTAAAGTAATTTTTTTTAACAAAATTGTTTTAAATCGCTCTGAACTCTGAACCGCTCCGAGTTATTCCTAAAATAATGCTGCGGAACCGCTCCGAACCGCTCCGAACCATTCCTTAGCATACCACTTACTCATTATCATTAGGCATCTTCCCCTATCAAAAAAGTTGATCATAAATCACATTTTTTTGTTATGATGTATTTGTTGATGGTGTTTGATATTCGTTTTGTCATGACGATGATTCGTGAAACTTGACATTTCTTATGTACTTGGTCGTCGCTCAGTCAATTAATAGCTATCTCTTTTTGTATCTCAGTTAGAACCGTAAGCTAGGCGGTTTTTAAACTTCAGTTTTGACTATTGCCTTGTCTGATCTCGAATCATATCAAAACATAGTCATAGTCTCCTAGTGTAAGTACATAGTCATAGTATAGTCATCATTTAATGAGTCCAATGATCTAAGGGCCAGTCACAATTTCTTGAACGAGTTTTAATTTGTCGTATAGGTACGTTGCTAAGTTCCCTTGCATGTACTTTGAAAATATACCTACATGAAAAGTAGCGCGTTTGTAATGGAACTTTTTGCCATGTAATTAACTGTAATGCAAATAGAGTATGTTAGCAGCATATGCATGGTTGCATGATTTGATACTCTATGTTCTCATTTTTGTGACCGAGTCATGGATTAACACATACCTTATGTTGACAATGGTAGTGCTTGTGTATGGCTAGGTAATTATTCGTGGTCAACCTTCTGGTTTATTCATGCCATGATACAAGTTGACCATTCTTGGGAACATGTTTTCCGGTTCAACAATATTTTTAGGAATAACTCTTCTGATTTGGCCATAGCTGTAGGAATAACTACATATTTGGCCGCAGTTTTAGGAATAACCCTGGGGATTTTCACTGTCATTTTATGAATAGCTCTAGAGATTTTGATGGATAGTTCCACAGCCTCACAGGCAAAGAGGCTAAGGAACGTCCTAATGTATGTTTCATATGAATTTTACATATGTTTTGCACGCGGCTACTTAGGATATGTATAATTACGTACCCCCTCGTCAAGCTCCTATAGACGGAAACCTTGGAGGCTTTTGAGACCTAGCTAAATTATTACTATACATGATAATATGGAAGCAATGGTCGGTATCGGAAGCTGGAATCTGGAATAGTCACCGTCATTTTTTTAAAATCACGTAAAGATGACTATTAAAAGAAAAAAACGCGAAAAATGACCCGGACATAAATCTTGCAAACGGGCAACTCTGTATTGGAAGTGAAAACAAATTCATCAAATCATTGATTCATTCATTCATTCAAATTGGGTTTGCGGGATATAACACCACAATTTAAAGATAAGAACGGTTTGGTAACTGGGATGTGGTCAGCGTAGTTGGGGCTTAAACATAAGTTGGTTGGTTGGTGACCTGATGGTTTTGTCATTTCATTGATGGCTGTATAGTGATTTGATAAACGGCATCTCTTGGTAATTCTTTTTGATTTTAACTGTCTTACCGTCTTACCGCCAGTAGAGATGGAATTTGAGGCTGCCAAACTCGAACATGCCAACCTCCAGAAAGAGAAGGGTAACATTGCTGAACAAAAGGAAAAGGATGAGGAAACATTGAAGAAATTCAAGGACACCACCACAGTTGCCTACATAACTGCCCCAGCTGAACAAAATAACGGAGGTTCACTTGGGACAACTTCTTTGAGGCATCAATTCAGAAGGTAAGGCTCTTGGAGCATGCTTTTGGCAAGTGTTCTACATGAAAGTGGCCGTCAGGCTGCCTGGATTGTGATGCGTCCAAGCGCTGTACCACTTGCATTCAGAGGCTGCCAAGGCTAAGAAGTTGCCCTTTCTTAGTACAGGAGCTAAGTTGCAATGTTCCGCTGCACTTGGTATCTTATCAAGTTCAGCTGTACCTGCCTGAACCTCACCTACCTCACCAAGCGCTGAGCCAAACTGCGTGTTTTGAGCCTTGTACTGAGCAAAGTCCTACCTGGTTAAAAGAAACGATGCTTTAATGTTTTTTGACCTTTAAAAAAATTTAAAGGAATGTGTTTGTTGCGTAAAATGTTTGAAAATGTTCACCTTAAAACAAAAGTGGACACAATAGAGGACAATCACAACAGACATGCTATTGAAGATCAAGGCTGCTCATGGACTACCCCCTTGAACAATTGTTTGGGGCTTATGTTTTTTATTCAAACTTTGGTTTTAATGAGGAGTGTGATATTTTTGCGGAAATGTTGAAATGTTGCATTCTGATGATTCTAGATGAAAACTACGCAACTTACACTAGTTTTTCCAAAGCCAGGGGAAAGATAAGTATGAACTGGATACAATAGAGGGCTATCACAACAGACATACTATTGAAGATGAATGTTGCTCATTGGCTGCCCCTCGAACAATTATTGTGGTGCTGTTTGTTTAACAAGGGTTTTAAGGAAAAACTTGTTAGATCTTGTTATGTTGTTTTTCCTGCAAATTGACTAATTAGGATTTTTCGTTGCAAAATATATCAAAATATTTGAAAAGAAAATGAAAAACAAAAGAATGAAAATAATGATGAAAAATATCACAATACCGACCGGCCCAAACCAACCCACAGATTCAAAGTAATTTTGGCAAAACTTGACACAACAACCGTCCCATTGCACTAATCAGGATACAATATTACATGAGGTTCTAAAAGTGTTAGTGGTTCCAAGGACATCATTATATCCAAACGTGAACCATATTTAACACAAATTGGAACAGCTAAACGCAACCCGAACCAGCCCAAGACAGTCAGAGAATATCAGGGCATGTTCTTTAAACGTTGTTTTGGTAATATGTTTCCTTGTTTTCATTTTTTTAGAGGCACCGTTAAGGCAATTTAACAACATGCAGCAACATTTGTTCCGATAAGTTGAGCTCGTATTCATCAATAATCATCCGGGACCACGAATGGCCACTAGAACATAAAACGTAGAAGAAACTGGGAATCTGTGAGGTCGCATCGAGGCGTTAAGCCACAGTATACCACGGTAAAAACAAAGATTATGTTACTTCGAGTGATTCCCACCATGGCATTTCAACATATTTCAACACATTCCGTGCGCTAGTACAAACCCTCAGCAAAACTCACCGCATTGTTTTATCTGAAACAGAGTCTTGTGTGAGACATATGCCCAGTTAACTTTCCAATTCATTTAATTCCACCTAGCACCGGTTGTTGGCTCATGTTTTCTCATTTTCATCTCATCTTGACATGCTTGCCGCATCCTGTTGATTTCATAGAAAGTATCTTCGGGTTGAAACGCTTGTGCCAAGCGACATCAGCAAGAAAGCAACCTGATATATGCGGATATATGCCATGTGTTATGACATTCTTTCTGGCATATCAATATATATAATTATACGTATAAATAAATAGAATAGATAGAGAGAGAGAGAGATATATATATATACACCTGGCATTTCAATAAATATAATTATACGTATAAATATAAATATATGTATATAGCATATCTTTTGACATTATTTCTTCTTTGGTTGGGGTCCGGCGGGGAACACTCTGATCCGGAGCTCGCGTTGAGGTCCGGCGGGGAACACTCTGATCGCGGTGGAGGTCCAGCGGGGAACATTCTGATCCTGAGCTTGCGGTGGAGGTCTGGCAGGGAACACTCTGATCCGGAGTTTGTGGTGGAGGTCCGGCGGGGAACACTTTGATCCAGAGGTTGCTGTTGGGGTCCGGCGAGGAGCGGAAGAAGGAGGAAGGAAGGGGGAAGGAAGGAGGAGGCGGGAAGGCTGACATAAAATTTATTTAACAACCCTCACCTGACAGACATAAGATTTATTTAACAACCCTCACCTGACAGGTGGGGAAATATCATCCGAATAGAAAGATCTTTGAAGACAAAATCTTTAAATATAGGAACAATAAGTGTGAACCAAGCACGAAAACCAATGGGGCGTGTTCTATCATTTTTTGACCCAGGATTTGGCATACCTGATCGGGGTAGTAAATGCGAATCCATGGCAGCCAGCCTTTCAACATAACCCAGGCAGTTTGTGACTCAATTTAATTCCGTGGGTGGGCAATGCGTCGGGAATGCCGGTTCTACTTCAAGCCCTGCAATTCGTCAGATTGTTTGCCGACGACAAAGTTATAATCATATGTGCAAACAATGTTATAGGAATTTGTCGCGAATTGCACAAAGGGTTCGGCATTGTTTTTCTGATTTGGTTGTTTTCCCGCAGGTATTTGCTGTGTTTTGTTCATGTCATAATCGTTGGCATTTTCCGATTGTTGGTTGAACTGATGCAACGCGATGTTTGTGCAGTGTTGGGCCCAAAAACACTATTTGTACACCACGGCTGGCAGACTGTGCGTTTGAAAAGGTGAAAGCACAACCGCTGACAACATCAATTCAATAATAACAAACAAACTAGAACAAAAATGTCGAAATTGAAGTCACCGTCATTTCGTAGTGCAAATCTAGGTCTTCCGGTCCTGCACGCCATGAGCCGCTAGATGCGCTGTTTGGTGCCAGCAAACGAATCGCTATTTCATTGTTCGGAATGGGCATTTCTTTATATATTATGTGATTTATGCACAGACATTTTCACATGACATGGTACATATTTGTGCAAAGGTAATTAAAAATGGATGGCGCTCAAAGCTACGGTGCGAAAATTCCAAATTGTCATCATGCAGGTGCTTGTATACCATGACGCGGATCGTGGCACCAGCGCCTCCAGGCACCAGTTGATGCATCTTGGACTGTTTGTCGGCCCTTAGCCCAGTCCTTGCTTCAAAGGTCATCAACGGGACGCACGGTCCAGAGGGGCTAGCAATCTTAGAGTTCGTGACAGGCTTGACGGTCACACTTTGAATTGTGTGGTGTGGGCATGTCTAAAAATGAATATGTTTATGGAAAACATTGGGGTCATTTTTTTTGACTTGGAAATTTGCGGGCGCCAGACCAGCTTCAAAGCCGAAGCGACGACCACCACGGCGTGGAACAAGTACACAGGCCATGTGAGTTTTACTCAATTGTACTCATTCATTGCTGTATATATGAGTCACGGTCAAAATGGTTGAAGACCACTGTATTGCGGAAACGCTTTTGTCAGATGTGCACGAAACACTGCAAAGCGATAGGGGCCCCTCCAAAAGCGAAAATGGCACAAAATACTGGAAAAACGGTATTGTACTTACTCAGATGTCAAGGATTTTGACGGGAATTGGGACACACACACGCATACACACATAAATAAATAAATACATACATTCATACATACATACATACACACATACATACACACATACATAAATAAATAAATAAAGAAAAAAACAAAAAAAAGAAAGACAAAAAAAACGAAAAACAAACATAAAAAAATATATATGAACAAATGAATTTGAATACACAAATAAATAGATATAAATAGATAAAAATATATAAACAGATAAATAATACACACACATATATATATATACATATTAATGGTAATATTTATATTTTTATATTTCAGATCAACATGTTGCATGATTTGAATGCTACTTTGGTGATTGCAGTGATTATCGTTCCAACGTGGTGGCTGTTTCATGGATCTTCATGGTGCTTCACGTCGCTCAGATTCAAGGACCCTGGTTCAGATACTACATGTTCAGATGCAGAAGGGCAGGATTCTAAGACCTGAAAATGTTTGAGCTGGAGGGAACGCGTGCTTCAAACCGCAACCTGTCCGACTCTAGTTGTGCGACACGCGCTTCCAAGCTGCATGAGGTGTCAGCGATCAAGAACTCCGACAGATTTCGAGCAAAACTCTGACGGAGAGTCCGGTGGAGGGGAGCAATGAGGGAGTGATTTGATTGATTCAGCGGCTGTTCACTTGGAAATCAAATTGCTGCATGCTAGCTGTGGCAAGGCATGGCACAACGTTGTTTGAGGCACCATTGGTGCAACCTTGGGCAGGTACGAAGTTTTTGTGGCAGAAGGAGCGCCCATGCCATCTATTGCACAGCGTGACAAATATGTAAGTGGTGTGCCAAGATGAGAATGCCATGGAAGAGTTGGCATTCCTCAATCAATCAGCGTGATGAACAGTTGCCAAGGTTGTCGTCCTGTACCTGGTGGGATGCGTTTAACATTGCGGCGGGCAGAGGATCGCAAGCACTTCGTTCAGATAAATTGTGTTGCAACAGTTGTTGTTAGAATCATGACTTCATAGTTGGGCATTGGGCATTACTTCCTGTTCTCTCTTGCGGCACAACCCTGATCAGTCCTGTCGACTTGACCAACAGGAGCAAAGCCGCTTCCTTGATGTCAAGGGAACTCTGGAAGAACTTGAAGAGGAGCTATAGCTAGATTTTCTCCGTGCAACCATGTCACGATAAACTGTGATCAATAAATATCAATAATTGAATTCTCCATCTGCATTTGGACTATATATTTTGGACTTAAGCACCTTACGTCACCTTACGCATCGCTGAAATCATGGCATTGCCGTGAGTGCCGCTTGCCGCTTGGCAAGGCAGTGCCAGAAGTCGATGAGGATTGTCTCGATGATGAGCCTTCCACGAAGCCTGTGTGGCGATGGCGTGGAGGTGGTCACTGCAGTTGTTTCGTATTGTTGATGTTGTGGTATGTTGTAGTTCGATAGGTTTATTATGGTATTATGAATATTATGAATGGATTATGAATGGATTATGAATGGATTATGAATGGATTATTATGGATTGTTACATGTTATTACTGTTGATGACGGCACTGATGCTGATGAGCTAGCAGAAGCACAGGTGATCTATGGTGATTTTCCGCTAATCGCCAGTGATTTGTTCCCAGGTACCGGTCCAAAACGACGGCAATCAGTGCCACAAAGAGGTCCTAGAGGCATTTTGTCATAGACATTCCCCATCATTCTCCATTTGTATGCTGTATGAGTGGAAAATCAATGCCGGTATTTTTCATTACTGGGAACTCACGCAGTCATGCAGTCATCTGCAGTCATGCCTATTTTTGGAACAGCCGTGGTTGGTTTTGAATGGTTTTGAGGGTTCTGATCTTCAGTAGTTTGCCGTTTTTGATTGACAGGTGAGTTTAGCCAAGCAGCTTGGCCATATGGCCCCAGAAGAGTGTCATTAGAAAGACCTCATTCTGCACAATATGCGAAAGATGTTCATCGCAAATCTCCTTACACCCATGCACGACCAGCATCCGCAAAAGCAGCCCTGGTAACTCCTCCCAGACCACCTTCTGCCAGAAATACTCGGCCACCTGGAAGGCCCAAGCCCAGGCCCTTGAGGCCGGCATCAGCACCATCAGTCAGACCTCCTTCCAGGCCATCCTCAGGGCATCCGGCCGTTTGCCCATCTTCAGCCCGGCCGGCCTCGGGACCCTCGGGACCCGCTCGCCCAGATTCCGCACGGCCGGCGTCAGCTCGGCCGGCATCCGCGACAAGCTCTGCACAACCTGATTTGGAAGGCAATTGGACCCGGCCAAGTTCGGGGATTTCCGGGATCTCAGAAAGACCCCAAGAGATTCCCAGCCAGTTGCGGCCGCAATCTGCGCCAGTTTTCAAAGGGCATTCAAAGGATGTTAGCCACTTCGAGGGTGATTCTGTGTGCAGCCAGCCAGCTGGCCGGAGCATTCTGTTCCAGCAGCAGGACTTCTTGGAGAAACAATTGGCTGAGAACCACGGCAAACTCAACCAGTGTTTCACGACACTGATGCAAAACTGGGTTAGTTCCTACCAGAAGAGCCGTCTGCGTGCGCGAATGGCCTGTCGACCACTTTTTGGAGAAGGCCCATGGGAGGAAATCAGTTTGGTTGCACTATGGCATTGAATCACTTGACACTATCGATTCCTTACTTTGCGATCCTTTTCTTCAATTGCATCACAGTCAAGACCCCATATTCCTTGGCACTTGTGTGATCTTGTATGCATTTGAATAATTCACATCTGATTTGTTTGACCCGGCACCAGCAGATCTATATAGATCACCCTGATTAGCAATGCAGCTGTCATTTACGTTCTGATGTTGTTATTTGCCCATGCAAATTTGATGAGGATTGTTGCAAGGGCGGTTGCCGACCCTGGGATACTTGAATGGTAGCAAGCACCATGCCATTCTCACCATACATGGTAGGCAGTGGCAATTTTCAATTGCCAGAAATCAATGTATGTTGTATTCCTCCGGAACTGGTGATACGGCTCCGCATTGCAAGTTTGGATTTCTGTTTGACCATGTTTGACCTGTTTTTGTTTTTGCAAGTGAATCCTTATGTCGTCGCCTCATGGGACTTGCAGACCTGCTTTTTTACCGCCACCAGCATTGTTTACATTTATGTTATATATATATAATTCATATGTGTATATATAGGGAGACCTGAAGGCGATGGAGAGAGAGAGAGAGAGAGAGATAAAGAGATAGAGAGATAAAGAGAGAGATAAAGAGAGAGATAAAGAGAGAGATAAAGAGAGAGATACTGTAAAGAGAGAGATAAAGAGAGAGAGAGAGAGAGAGAGAGAAAGAGAGAGAGAAAGAGAGATAATCGGGTTATATATATATATATACATAGTATATAATATAATACGACGTAAACATGTTACAACTAATATGGTATACACCCATAAACGCTCCACAATATATGACCATAAATGGGCGGTAGATAAACAATCCGCAGTCAGTAGGTTTATGCTTGACTTGAAGTCGATCACTTATTTCAATCACACAGAGAGCCACTCTTCGTTGATCCGCCCTTGATCCTGTCATCCTGCATCATCCTGCCAAATTTTGCTAGGCAGCGATGCAACGTTCACGTTTCCCAAGACCTTTGCACCAGTGCCACCGCCACTGACAAAACCCAAGAAGCGGGACTTGGACGAGGAAATGCGACAGCTGGAGATAGCTCTGGAAGGTGGAAACAGAGACGAGGGGAAGATGATTGCAGATGGATCAAATGGATGGAGTTCAGATTTCTCAAGATTCGGCTTGCACATGAGGGTTTTGTCTAGCCGTCAGTGGATAATGATGCCTTTAAAAGTCATATACTTCATTTTCACGGCAGTGCCACCAATAGAAGTGAGAATAAGTGAGCACACTTCGATGAATGAATTTGTCAGCTCTGCACGGGTTGTTGGAATGGCAGCACACAAGTGGCTCACACGCATGTTGGGTGGTGCAGTTGTTTGCTTGTAGGTTCTGCTTCCGGAGAGGCTGAGGATGATGATGTGAGGTCATGGCGGGAATACGGATAGCGTTGGTCTTATCACTCCTCGATTCCGCATGTGCAGCAGCCTCCGAATGGATGGAAAAGGGATGAGAGGGGATTTATTTATGACATATAAAATGAATCAAGGCTCAAAGATGATCGTCTATTTAGTTCGGGTGGACGGTGGACGCATAATATACAGTCGTTTCTAGCCAAGACAATCCTATGTTTCCTCCTGGTCAGGCCTCTCGAGAGTGTCAAAACAATTGCAGCAGCGCATGGCTGAGCATTCGCACGGTTGCCTCCTGATTTTGGGCAAGGTACTTGGGCCAAGGTTTTGTTCCTACTTGTTCCTACTGAGGGAAGGCGCGGAGCCCTGCAAACGCCACTTGACCCAGGCTGGGAGAGGGATATTGCAAGATATTGCAATAGTATGTGCATTTATGATATTTATGTGCTGTACCGTGGCCAGAAACTGTGTCAAGGCCAACTGGATCTCACCGGCAGGCTGCTTAGGACCTCAAAGACTGACACTTTCCTGACAGATTTGGGCAGTTGGACAGAGCGGGTTGCGTTTCAGGTACGATTGGCAAGAAGATTTCTACGCACTCTCAAGCCGAGAGCAAGGCAAAAACTGGCGAATGGCTAAGCACGCAAGGGGACACCGAAACCATCTAAGCGATTTCAAAGCAACTCGGTGGTTTGATGGCTTATAAGTTAGAATAAGTCAGAACTATACTACCACATCTACCACAGATAATCACAGGGAACTATCGGAATATCGTATCCATTATGGGGATCCCAATTGAAAGACACCCTGAGGATCCCTTGGGCGATTTCTTTATTCTCAAACCGGTCCAACAAGTTGTTCTATTTGTCTTGCGTTTCAAGACTGCAGGCGAAGACCGACCCTGCAGATGAAGCATTCTGGTATATTCTGGTATTTGGATGTATTTGGTACATGTGGTCACGTGGTCAACATTTTTTGCCCACATCACGAGAGGTCATAAGGATACTATAGAAATAGTAATGAAATAGTAATGACAATAAAGTAGCAATAATTCAATAGTGAAGCAATGACTGAGACTCGTGAGACTCTGCGCCAGCTGTCCCTGCAGGTCCACGCTGTTCGAACCCTTCCTTATGAGACTCCGCGCGGTGCAATGACCCCTTGCAGTGGGCCAAGTTGACCAAGAAATGGATACATTGAAGATGGCTATGGATCAATACCTAGACCATTTCAAGGGAGATAAACAGTGATAAACAATGATAAACATCCATATATCTCAGCTATTTTGATGTGACAACCATGGTGCCAGGATTTTGATTGACCCGTAGCCATGTCAGCAAACGTCCAGTTGAAGCCGCTGCAAAACCGCAGGGATGTTCACAGTCTAAGGTGCCTCAACTGTGTTCAACAACCTGTCCATGAGAGAACCATCAGTTGGAGGAGGCCGGACCCAGACAGTTCACACATGTTCAAACGCACTCGAAGTACAGTAGAGTTTTCAAATGCAACAGCTGTTCCATCTTGTTCCTAAGCAATGTAGCATATATATCATCATATATTATCATATATTATCATCTATGATCATATATTATCATATTATATTGTGTTGTCGTATGAGTCATATCTTAATTTTCATGTCTTTGCCCGAGGCACGGAAGGCACCTCTGTCTCCGGCCTGGAATTATCAGAGGGTAGCAACTTGCTCTCACCTGTCTTTGGGATGATGCCCAAGAGAGACGCTCTGGAAAAGGCGGCCACAGACAAGCAACATCTACTGACATGAGAAGTTCTCTTCAGATGTTGTCTTCAGATGGTCTTGCAAAGCAAAATCAAAGATTTGAGGGGAAAGGATGAGAGACTCGCCACAAGTTCAGGACCTTTCGCCACGATTCGCCACGTCAGTTTTGATCATAGCTCGTGTCAATCCCAAGACTGGCTTCTGGGGAAGCCAGCACCAGGTGTTTCAGCGTGTTGCAGACGATGGCGAGGTGGGATGGTTTTTAGCCTTTTTGCAATGACAAATGGCAGATAATGGCAGCAGTGATGCCAAGTGGTAGGGTCTCAGCTGACCCAGAACTGGGAAAGCTGCAGGTGCACAAAGATGTTCTATGTCAGAGCTTGGAGCTTCTAGGCCAAGTAACATGCTTTGTCATGCAGAGCAAGCATTGTTGACAACCACGGCCTTGGGGTGATGGTCATGTTGGCGTATCCCAAATTGTGAGACCAAGCCCTTAACGAATCGCCAGGCATCCGCCACATCAAGCAGGAATGGGTCGTGAAGATCTTGTCCACCGTCACCAGGCCCATCCAGAGCCCAGCATCAAAACCTCGGTATCAAACGGTGTAGCTGGAGAAATCAGCTTTACCCTCTGGTAATCAAACGTGGCAATGGAAAATCACTAACATGTGGAAAAACATATAAAACATCAGAACATGTGCAATCTATCAGAATGTTGGAGGTTTACAACCCTCAGCTTCGAGGAATACACGGTTTTTGTCGCATCCTTGGACTTTGTCCATCTCAGTCAGCTTGTGACATCTGTGACATCCGACGTTGCACGGCGATGTTGCTTTAGGTCCATGCCTACATCGACCTGCAAAGCAGGGAGTACGAGAATGCCTTCTTTGAACTGGACAAGGATGGCTCTGGTACCATTGAGGCTGGTCGGCTGGTCCCATGGATTCCCATGGTGGCAATGGCAACCACAACAGGCTACTGTTGAACCACCACGGTTTAAAAGGTGTGTTTAAACATCCTACCGTTTCTCTGACAGTATAGGCATGCCTGATCTATCATCCGATTCTAAATTGGATATACATGTAAAAAAACATACAAATATGAATATATTATATATATATATGTGTGTGTGTGTGTACCATCTGAACAGATATAAAACTTCTTATTGGTTTTCACTAATTTGCAGGGGGCCAGCGCATGGCATCACGACGCTGGCCAACGAAGCTAGTGATGTCATGGGAAGCAGTTGGAGACGTCCAACTGTGTACCTGCAGAAATCAAGTTGAACTGTTGAACACGCTGTCTTGTTTGCTGCACTGTTGTCGCAATCTGGAATCAATTTTGAGATTTACATGCATCAGAACCTTCCTCAGATTTTCGCCGAAACCATATCGCCGACAGCATTATATATTTTTTTGACCTATTTTCGCCGAGACCTGTCGCCGACGAATCATGGGTTACTTTGTGAAACAATCGCCGAAACATTATTTTGGATTTCAACATGCTGGTCAAAACTCTATGGAATCTGGTTATGACTACGTTTGACAATATCGGATGCCCTACAACGTTTTCGAGCAGTACCTCACGTGGCTCTTTTATTCTTCTAATAATCTAGGCTGGTTTGCATGTTTCAGGATTCAGTTCCTGCCGGATCATATAATGATCCATTCTTGTCTAGTGTGATTTCCATGGTGGCTCCGACATGGTGCCACGGAGCCATTTGAGGCAACCCTTTTTAGGGTGAGTGATGACTGTCCTGACTGCCGAATTAACACATTTTAATTTAGTAATTCATCTAAGTAAAGCGAAACAGTCAGCCTTTCTGTTCTGCACCTTTTGTGAAGTCCCGCGGCTCCTGTCGTCCCTTGAGATCCTGGTGAAATTCTCTCCCACGGAGTGACGTTGTGCCGAACATTCAGAAACCTCTTATTCTGCAGCACTTTCACAGCGACATTTTGCAACATTACATGAAAATGGACCAGGCAGGCACACGACTTTCAGGTGTGGTGATTCTTTCTTTTGATGGTTGTCTGGTGAGGTGAAACATTTTGTGCATCTAATTCGATGGAACTTGAAAGCTGTTTTATGCCATTGGGGCACGACCTGACATCGGGCCTGTTATGGCACAATTGCACGAACAGTAGGTCTAGGAACTGAATCCTGTCGTTGCATTTTCGTTATTTTTCATTATTCTTCGTGAGCGATGTATCCGTGGACCACTCCTCCGACGTCATGGCCTGCTCCACCGCAACCTGCGAACGCATCTTCGACGTTGCCGCAATCATCGCAGACCGCACATCTATTTGGACATCCTTCGGCCTTGCATCCTACATGGTCTTCTTCAGCTTCGATCATGCCGTCTACATCAACACCAACATCGTTGCCGTTTACCTCATTGTCTCCGGCTCCTCATGCAGTACCAGGCCCACAGCTCGTTCCCACCATGCCTTCGCCTTTGGCCTCCGAACCCACTATGGTGCACACCACTCCTTCGACTTTCCCATCTCCTACGGCACCCACCGTTCCACCTGCCTGGCCTTCTCCTCCGACTCCATCTCCTGCATCGACTCCACCACCTACATCGACTATGCCACCGACACCTTTGCCAAGTTCTCCTTACCCACCTCATCACATTCAACCTCCATTACAAACGGACGCATTGATGGTCTCTCCAGATGACCCTCCTCCACGGCCTCCTGCAGTTAAGGCAGCTCCCAGGCCTCGCTCTGACAAAAGAATAGATCGACCGCGCAGGCCAGCTTCAAAAGCCCCTCCTTCGACTACACCACCAACACCCACGGCAGCACCGACGTCATCCGTGCCACCCGAACTGGTCGCATTGGGTTCCACTACACAGCAACTTGCGGAATCTGTTCGACTTATTCAAGCTCAGCAACAAGTGATCATGGATACTCAACGAGCCCAAGAACAACGTCAGCTACTTCTCCAACAAGATGGACCTCCACCGAACCCTATTCCACAAATCCACCACCTACGCCCGTGCCACCACTGATTGCCACACCTCCACCCGCACCGAAAGCCAGACCTACCGAACCTGACGTTCCGGACCTTCGCATTGTTCAAGCCCCAGCCATTGCTGCTCCTCCTCACCAACTACAAGTTCCATCATCCCCAACACGCCGACCAAGATCCAGGACTCCACGACCACGTTCCCATCGACCTTCTGTACATTCTCATCGCCATCGCTATTCTCCTCCACGTGCAGAGCGACCTCGTTCTCCTCTCCCTCGTCATCGATCATCCACGAAACCCGACAAGGGACGCAGAACCCCATCTCCATACAGACGACGCTCACCACCACGACGCCGCTCTCCCGTGGTTCCTCGACGTCATCGATCTCGCCCACGTCCACGTTCCGCGACGCCCCGCCACCGATCCAGAGGCCGTGAAGTCGTACTTCGACCAGCTGCGAACCCATCGAATCCGAACTACATCCCCACTCCCGATGCTGATGACACCTGGGGTACATGGAACGACAGTCACTACACCGACAACTACCATCACCACAATACTCGACCCAATTCTCCTGCCGATCCACCACCACCGGAACCACCAACCAACCCACCAACCCACACTTCAGCACCACTTGGCGCTGTGTCCTTCCGACTTCCTGACGGCGACAGTGAAAACTCTGAGGTTGCCGAAACGATTTCGATCACCAAGTACGACACGAATGACATCGACCTCAGTGAAATGGTTGAAGCAGCCAATGACCCCCTTAGGGTCCGCTGCCTGACGGAGCTTGGACCCGACCATGTTGTCCCTCTACGCCAATCATTGACTCCGGCTATCTCGCAGCTCTTCAACCAATTCGTCGACGCGATGTTCGAACAGCTGGCTCAACCATACCGTACCGTCAACAACCATCGTATTTATATCAAAGCAAGCCAAGCCACCGTCAGGAACATTGCCAGAGCCTTTGCACAATCCAACTTGCTGGACATCGACCTTGCGAGGCAAACACAGGCCTTCTACATCGAGCCAGAGAACCTGCTGACCATCACGGTACCCACAGGATTGCCAAAGAAACCAATCTACCGTGGCGAACACATGGGCACCTACCTGATCTACCACAAAACGAGTTGGGAAACAGTTGCCAAAATTCTGGCGGAAGACTGCATCCGCCCGGCAACTTGGACAAAAAACGAAGCTGGCATGCCAACTCAATACCCATGTTACGGGTTCTTCGGAATGTCCTCTGAGATCGCAGACATCGACAACCTCCCCGGCTATGCTGTCAAGGTCTGTACCTCTCAGCTCTACAAAATTGGCAAAGGACAAAACCCATCAGGCCTGTTGGCCATTTGCCGCTCACCAAAATGCATCCGTGCCCTTGCTGGAGGAAATGACCAAATTCAACGCTTGTGCAACCTTACGGGCATAGCCAAGGGCAAAGACAATGCAACAGCTATGAACTCAAGCGCGGCATCCATATGCTATGTTGCCTCCACTCACTCCGTTTTCCCGAGCTTGATCACACACCAGACAACGGAGACCAATGCACCTTCGGAACCTCCTGACGATCACGGACGTCCAGCACGACCTGATCCTCCTGCCGACCCCCCAGGCCCTTCGGAAACACATCCAGACGACTCTCGAGACACACCCCGCCACCGCGAGACAACTACATCTGGCTCTCGGGATCATACTCGCCGATCTTGGCACGACAATGCTTCGTGGGATGACTCGACCTATCATCGCCGAGACCACCGCTCCACATATCATGAAGGCCACTCTCGAGACCAGTACAACGAAGGCCGACCTCGTTCTCGACAATCGACCTACCACTCCAAATCCCGCTGGTGAATTCTTTATCTTTGAGGAGCACCGGAACAGGTATTGACTATTCTACGCCAGCGATACAATGAGCCTAGTGGCCCCGCCCGATCATTTTGGAGTAACAATGCTTCTCCCGACATCCGGTATTGACGCCACTTCTTCCTCAAAAGGTTTGTGAACTGCTGCATGCTCATGATTGTTGATCCGTTCGCCCGCGTCGTTTTTCACTTCACGTTTCACATACTGAGACCTCGTATTATGTTTCACACTATTTCAACCGCACACTACTATTGTCTCACCTCGACATCTTCCGCAGCTTTCAATCGGTAGTTCGAGCTCTCTTTGACCTATTATTTCGCGACCTTGTCTACACCATGGCGTCCCAGGACCAGATCTCCCAATTCAGCGCGGATGTGAATGGAATTCCTCCTTCCCAGCCGGATCGCTCGCGCACACCACCTCCTCACCAACATGGATGGCACCAAGCAGTACCGGCGTTTCGTGGCCCGATGCACTATGCCATGACGACCCATCGACCCTTTTGGAGCCCATCCGGAATACCGCCTCCGCCACCTACGTCTCCATCGTTCCCAACACGCCCACCATGGACTTCACCTACGGCACCTTTTCCGCCCACGCCGCCTCCGAGCTCACAGACACCTCCCAACAACGCCAACTTTGCACCTCAACGTCATCCTTTTACACCGAGATCACCGAGACCTATGTCATCCCCAGGAGCAAGTTCCTCTGTCAACGAAGGATATACATGCAGACCAATTGAAATCCCACCAGTGGAGAACTGGAAACCTGACGTCGACTTCCACGACTCCAACAAGATCAATGGTTTGAACTTCCCTTCCAGAATCCGACAGAGCAGATTTTCAAGCTACAAGGACATTGAAGGCATGGATCCTTTACAAGTCCCACTCTGGAAGTTCTTGTACCAGGGCTTACACAATACTTGGCTTCGCCGAGTTGCATACGGAAGAGAAACCTTCGTCCTTCCTTTTGACAACATAGGCACTACAGTATTTGTGGCCGAACTGGTATCACAACTACGCACCCGCAATGTAGACTTGGACAAACTTGCTACATTTCGAGCTCGTTCAGCAGGCCAATGTC